CTAAAAGTGACTGACTCCGTTAGAAATCTTATAATGGGCCATGTTTGGATCTTCCAAACGGACAATAATCCAAAAACAAACCTTAAAAACAACACAAAAAAGGGTCACTGGGCACAAAACCAAGCTTCTGCTATGGCCATTCCAGTTTCCTGACCTGAACCCTGTAGAAAATGAGTGTGGTGAACTGAAGAGGAGAAGCACCATCATGGAGCTGGGAATCTGAAGGGTCTGGAGAGATTCTGGATGAAGGAATTGTCTCTGATCTCTTGTCAGGTGACACTCAGAGCTGTTATTATGCCAAATGAAGGTTTCAAAAAACATTGAATAAAAGGGTGCCGTTAATTGTGTCCAATGTGTATTAGAGAAAAACATTTATGTCATAATGATAGTTTCCCCCATTTTAAATACTTTTTCTCCAATGAAAGGTTAGATTTATGTGATTTTTTTAAATAAAAGATCAAAATGATTAACAATGCAGATTTATTTTCACAGCATTCTTTGATCATATTTACCAAGGGTGCCAATAATTCTGACCACGACTGTACATTGTGCTTTTTTAAGTTAATCAATTGATGTGCATTAGATGATGAATTGAATAGTCACCTCTTGTAGGTTATGATTTAGTAATCAGAAGAGAATGAATGAAGAATTATGAGAGGTTATGCTATCACACATAAATTTCTAACATGTAAATTATTGAAGCCAAATACTTACATTATCGAAGATGGATGCACGGAAGAAGACAAGAGTAAGAAGTGCAACCAACACCAGGGAAGGCAGTTTTTGTCAGAGCCCTTGTTATTCTTAATTCTGATATTTTCATTTTTACACCAGACATATATATTGGTTCAAAATATCGGTTATCGGGCAACTTGGTCTGTAATAATCGGTATCGGCCCTGAAAAACACATATCGGTCGACCCCTAACATATATATATATTTATATATATGCATGTATGTATGCATGTAAATATTTCTTAAATATATACATGTATGTGTGTGTATTTAAATATACATATACACAGCACACACACACGTATTATGCAAACACAAACTTTTATTTTTATTTAGATCGGTTTGACAGCCCTAGAAAACATTAATTATTGAAAACATTTAATTCCCAAAATTCTATCTTATTGACTCCTTAAAGCAAACCTGAAATCTTTTCTGGGAAAAGTCCCTGAGTGAGCGTACATCATTTAAAAAAAAAAATTCTACTTGCATTCATGTGGTAAAAAGAAACTCAAAAATGCATGCCTGACTCGCAAGAACTAACCAAATTTGTTCTCGTGCCACACAAGTACAGTTGAGCTTATGTTTACCATATTTGATGTGCTCCATCCATGTGCAATGATCACAATGTTTATATGTAAACATAATTTACATCTGTTCAGAATATAAATCAATCATGTCTACTCAGAAGACTTGGATTACACGGCTCATTTTATATGGATTACTTTACAATGTCTTTATGAATGCAAAGTTTTGGATAAATTGACTTTCAATGGATAAACAAAAATCTCTCAGGTTTGATTAAAATATTTCAATTTGTGTTTCAGCGATGAACAAATGTTTTATTGGTTTGGAATGACATAAGTAAATTATGATAATTTTCATTTTTGGGTGAACTATCCCTTTAAGGCAAGAGTAAAGTTTAAAAATGTTGCAAAACCTGACCTAATGCATATGGGTCAAAGACGTTATGATATCCGCATCAAAAGAAATTTACAAACATGATTTTATGTCCATAGAAAGCACATTAAATGTAAGTAAAGTGTCTACTTTTAAGGTTTCAAATAAGTTTTTGGAGAATAAAATGTTATGATAATGAAATAGTGTTACATTGTCATTCAGCGTAACACAATATCTATGTAAAAATTCAAACAACATGCTTATTCTGACTTGTACTTATTAAAATATATAAAAGAATAAGGGAGCATATTAAATTTGATTGTGTTTTAAATGAGTAAATATTCTTACTGACAAATGGGCAAAACCTAAGATAGTGGCAAATTTTAAAAATGTAAAATTACAACTCATTAGTATTTGGGGTGAAAGTAATTAGTCTTTTCATATGTCATAAATTGATTTTTGTTGTAAATATGCCTGACAAGAATGTTACACTGAATGACATTTTAGTGGGTCTCTTCTGTAAATCAGGGACAAATTTATTATATTTATTTTTTGCTTGCAAAAACAAAAACAAAATTGCAATTAAATTAAACAGAAAACTTTTAAAAAATTTTGTTGAAAAACAACAACAATTTAAAGCAGTATTACACTTATTGCTTTTATGTTTAAACCCTTTTTCGTCATTGACCCATATGCATTTCCTTATTAATTCATATAATTTTTTTTTTAATCCATGAACACATTGTGTAAACTACCCAGAAACACATAACCCTGTATATCTAACATATGAAACACAGTTAACATAATCTGTCTAAACTATGCAAGTCTTTAAAAAGCCCTCTGATTTCTAATTTCAAAATTAATCAGTCTACAGAATTCTTCATTTTTGAGTCACTGACCCTTTATCTTTTACCACATTACCACGGTAAGACAGCCACTGAAAGTGCATGTCACAGGAGGTTGAGTAGTGAGACGTGCTGGTGTTGATGGAGGTGGGAGGGCCAGCTGGATGTTTCCCCACTCGCAGCGTGGGTTGACATGAAGGGCTGCTGGGCGGGGGTTTTCTGTTCAATTCATTTATTTGAAATAATACCACCACACACCCTCTTATTCACTATAAAACCTCTCACTATTCTGACCGACTTCTTAAGCAGAACATGGGATTTGTTAATATCTTGTCAGTTAGCAGCTGCTTTAACCCACACCTAGTTGGGTATAATGTTGTGAATTGCTGAATAAGATATTGAGCGGATTAACAGCCGGCAGTCACGGCTTAGTCTTTCCTTTGGCCTTGAGCAAGCGAGCGAGGTGTCGAATGCTGGACAGGATCCAGTTTTCACACACAACTTGCATGTGGTCAGAGACAGAGGGTATCATTCTGTAAGATCTGGACCTGTGGTGACAAACAGCGGCCTGACAAACAATAGGAGTCAATCTTGGTGCTGTGAAAAGGAAACTGGTGACACAATGGCTCAGGTAGTCCAGCTGACACCGACACCCCCAGGTTTTAGGAAGAGAAGGTGTCTCAGGATGCTTCGACCTCGATCGGGTTACCAGAAAAACTGACTCACTGCTCACTTGCACCAAGATCATCCCCAGAGTCAGAGAAGAGAGAGTGTGAGAAGTGACAGCTACTTCGTTGCATTTTTAAATGGCAGCATTAATTATTGACCCCAGCATTATCCAAAAGGCTCCTGATACTGATGAGAAGTGTGATACTCTGGGTGCCGACACTTTCTTTTCAACTCCCCTGACACCCTAGCTGGCAAACCAGCACATGAACCACACAACAGACATCATTAGCCTTTCTCCAAAAGCAAGAGGCCAGAGAAAAGAGACGCTCTCAGGTCTCAGAGCTCATGATCAGAGGCTAGGCTATTCTTTAGAGTATGCAGATAATTATAGGTTCTTTAAGTCACTCAGGGAAGCAGGTACCCCTGAGCCTTGCCTTAATGAAATGAGTGGTAATAGTAAATTAAAACAACCATGTCATTTGAATACTCAAACTGTCAATTCAAAGTCCAAACAATATTAATATAGTCAAAAAATGAATCCGACGAAGAGTGAATCCTTATAAGGCACGGAAAACAAGTAAGGATTCCTAACACCGTGTCTACACCGAACGTGAGCGGCGCAGCAAAATACTATAGAACCATTGATCTATAATAGAGATTCATTATATATAGATCAGTGTATAGAACTTATTATCAGTGATGCTGTCTACATTGGATGCGGCGCAGTGCGACACGACAAATCCCCAACAGTAAACTGCTGCCGCATTCTATTTATGACGTGCTGACACAAATTTCTGTGCACTGGACGCTTTGTGAGTCCAGTCTGGTCCAGTGTAGCTGTGTAAAGTGACAGACTTTAGCTGAAGCAAAGGGTCTGAATACTTAGGACCATGTGATATTTCAGTTTTTCTTTTTTAATAAATCTGCAAAAATGTCAACAATTCTGTGTTTTTCTGTCAATATGGGGTGCTGTGTGTACATTAATGAGGAAAAAAAATTAACTTAAATGATTTTAGCAAATGGCTGCAATATAACAAAGAGTGAAAAATTTAAGGGGGTCTGAATATTTTCCGTACCCACTGTATATATAGTATAATTACCCAATGATATAATTGCGAGGGAAAATATTGAAATATATATATTTTCCTCCCATCTCATATTTATTCCCTTTAGGGGTTCCGTATACACGTAATTTTCTTTCCGAACACGGTATTGGGATACGGCGGATTGCGGGGGAGTATTGGGGGGAGGGGGTATTCACGATCCCGGCTCAACATCGTGATGTCTATCGGCCCAACCCTAATTCAAACTGTCAATTCAGTCAATACAGTCAATGAATGAATGCATGAATGAATGAAAAAAATATATAAATTCAAATTTTCACATAAAAGTCCAAGGTGCTGAATTCAAAAATTAAATACAAAAATAAATAAAAAATTGAAAATGTCAAACAAAATATCCAAACTGTTGTTCAAATATTCAAATGGTGAATTCAAATAAACATTTCAATTACTGTATCAATTCAAAAATTTAGACAAACACTTGCACTGTGAATTTAAAACATGTCAATTCAAACATTTAAATACTGAAATTGCCAACTGGACATTGGAATCCAGCATTCAAACAGCTGACTGCAGAATTAAAGCAAGGAATTAGCTGAATACAGCATTCTGAGACAATTAATTTAACTACAATTTAAAGAATTATTTAAAAACAATTGCTTTTAACATTTGACCAACAGGTGGTAATGTCACAGAATAGATATGACATTATGGATATCAGTCATTATCTTTTTTTTGTTTTGTTTAGTTAGTATAATGGAAATTGAAAATGGGAATTATTTTAATAGGGACAGACTTCACCCTGAAAAAACAGATACATAATTTATGCATTTCGTAAAAATAATAAATGTTGTTTATTTTCATGAAGGGTGTCAGATTTTTATTTTTTTTTACATCATGCCATTATATGTATCGATGCATTACACTAGATGATCAAAAGCAATAATCAAAAGCATCTGAAAACATTTTGATCATTAGGTGGTGCTGCCCCAAATTTTTCAGGTACTTTCAAAGCATGATGACACCTAACAAGTTTCAATATCATGATTTTAGACCAAACTATTCAGACATTTGAATCTATTTGCCATATTTCTTGATCAGTAGGTGATGATTTGCCAGTAATCTGCTCAGGTACCATCAAGGAATAGTCCCAGTGAGTTTAATTTCAACAGGCCAATGTGTTATGAAGACAGATCCTCGCTTTTTATTCAGCAAATTTGCTGATGCATTACAGAAGCATTTTTTTATGGTTTACATTAAGACCGTTCGATCCACATACTGGTATTTATTGGAGAGCTCATTGTAATTTCCTGGTTTGTTGCAGCCAAGATTCAGATTATTCAAAAAATCAAGCCTTTTAGAACCTAAATATAATTTTCATTTATAAATAATAAGCTAAACTAAAAATTGTATCACTCTCCTAAATGTTTTTGCTAAAAAATAGTAAAAATAATAAAATATCATAAACAAAAATGTTAATAAGTCAAATCAGTCAAATCCTTTACCGTACTGTACTGTACATGACTGTAGAAAGTAAATAAATGAGGAAATACCTGATATATTCTAAAGGGAATATAGCGGAAGCCTCCCTCATCAGTAGGATACTCCATGAGCTTTCGATTCATGGCCCAGAACTGGTCGAATTTATCTGATAAAAGACAGAAATTGTTTTAATCAATGACAATAACTCATGTTTCATTTTGATTCTCTCTCTGAAATTATGCAGCACAGCATTGTACAAACAATTTGAATTTCTTTTCAGCCTCAGTCACCAAAAATTCAATGAAAGTGAATAGTGGCTAAGGCAGTCAGTCCCTAACATCTGTTTAGCATCTCTTCTTGTGCTCCACAGAAGAAAGAAAACCATTTAAGTCTGGAACAAAATTATTCCAAATAAAGGTCCATTCACACCAAGAACAATAAATACAAAATAACTACAACTATATTAGCATCCACAGCAACGGCCAATAACATTCTGTTTATTATAAGCGCATTATGCTGTTTTGTTGTCTGCTGCTTTAAATGCTTGAGCACCATTTATACAGCAAATGTATGTATTGTTATTCAGCTGGAAAAAATCATTCTGAAAGTGATTCCAATGATACCATTCCTCTGTGTCATTATCATTACAGCTGTGAATTATAGTTGTGGATTTCCCTATTCTAATAGAATTATAATGATTATTAACATTTTATAGTTACAGTTGATCACTTTGGAATAAACAGGCATGAGTTCTGAGCTAAGCCGTGTGTGTTCCGTCACGCTGGCTGCGTTCTCACATGTGCAGGTGAAAATCAACATCCGCTTAGAAATTGTTACTTTCTCTGCTCACACACTCTCATCAGAGAACAGGACAGCTGTGACAGTGTGTTATCAAAGCATCTATGCTTCTGAAACTTACACCTCTCTCAGTTTATCTGCAGAGCTTCACATTTTCACCTTTAAATTAACTACTGAAACCACTGCCTGCATCGCACACACTAATTCTCAGATGAAAGTATGGGTTTGAAGTTACTGAGGACATTATGTGTAAAGCTCAAAGTTAGAACGCACCACACAACTTTTCAACTATTTAAACTATTTCACGCAAAAATTAAACTTTACTCAGGACATCCATGATGTAAATGAATTTGTTCCTCCATATTTTGGGGGGCAGATTTATAGAAAATCAGCATTACATCATGTGCTCACTTCAGAGGGTCCACTGTTGAGCATGTGATATAATACTAAATTTCTCCAAATCTGTTTGAATGAAGAAACAAACTCATTGCATCGTGGATGGCCTGAGGGTGAGTACATTTTCAGCATTTTTTCACTTTTGGGTAAACTATTATTTTAAAATCTGAACAGATTTTAAAATTATTCATACACTTTCCAACTTTGTAAATGGTCACAGAGGAAAAAAAACTGGACTTCATACACTAAACAACTAAGGATCACACAAACACAACAAACTCAAGCAGAAGCATGCGTCTCATTGCTAGGAAAAATGAAAACAATATTTGTTCTAAAATCATCTCAAAATATCTAATATTTTATATGCTCTGACTGGACGGAGTCTGTGTCAATCATACACTATGTATTTTCTATGAAATCTGTCAACTATGACAGCTAAAAAGCTCCAAACTGGCTATAACTTTCTGCAAATACCGTCAACTCATTCAGACTGCAAACTGGGGCAAAAATATGGGCAAAAGTTGAGTAGTGTATCCCAGTTTTAAAGGCATAGTTCACCCAAAAATGAAAATCCTGTCATCATTTACTCATACTCAAGTTGCTCCAAAAGTTTCTTTCTTCTGTTGAACATACAAGAAGATATTTTGAAGAATGTGGGTTACCAAACAGTTGCTGGTCCTCATTGACTTAAAAAATATGGGGACCAAAAACTGTTTTGTTACCCACTTTCTTCAAAATAGGCCTATTTTTTTTGTGTTCAACAGAATAAATAAATGCATAAAGGTTTGAAAGAACTTGAGGGCAAGTAAAGGATGACAATTTACATTTTTGGGTAGCTTATCCCTTTAAGGCAAGACACAACAAGTAAAACTTGGGCAATTTTGGGCTATTATAACTTGTCTACTTTACAAGTATCGCTTTTAATTTCACCTCTTTCCTATTACTTGTTTCACTTCTGTTTCAGTTTTTTATAACCATTTCTTACTAAGTGTCAGTAAGTTGTTGTTATTTTAGCATGTGTGTTTGGCTCAGTGTTATTTTTTTAGGATTACTGATAAACTAATGTAGTTTGATTTGTATTAGTTATCTATTTTAGTTTTAGTTACAGTTGTAGTAATGTTGTCATTTTATTAGTTTTTTTATTATGCCTATATAGGTTTTTTATTAAGTTTTAGTTTTATTTCATTTGAGTTATTTCAGTACTTCAACATACAAAATGGAAATGAAATAATATATATATATATTGAATGTATTTATATATATGTACATGTATATGTATATGTGTGTGGCTGTACATACACA